ACACACACTCACACACACACTCACACACACACACACTCACACACACACTCACACACACACTAAAAGCAGGGAGGGGCGATGGTGGAAGAAGGACCATGACTCCTGAGGCCCCAGTGAAAGCCTCCTGCTCTATGACAGGGTGCAGGGGTGGGAGTGGGGGACAGTCATGGAAAATATGAGTTCACTCCAATTACAAATCACCTGCAGAGGGACCAGATGGAGCCATCTTCCTGGCTAGCTGATCCTGAAACTTTCCCAGAAATCCACAGCCCCACGTAATGCACACTCTTATCTCTGATCCCCAGGAAATCATGGGCTGAGTGATTTCAACAGCAAGGACTTTTCTCTTTCTGTCCACTCCATCCCTCCCTTCCCCCACACTTACCAAAGGGTCAAAAGTTAGAGAAGATGATGAGGTCAAAGTGGTTTGGGGGTTCCAGTGGGAAAGAAAAAGAGAAAGTGACACAAGCCTGTGACTCAGGTTAGATTCTGAGAAGGGTGTCCCAAGGAGGGCTTAGGGAGTAAGACACTGCCCCCTCCTCCAGGAAGCCCTCAGGAAGTTGTTTCCTGTGTGTGGAAAACTATCTCTCCCCTCCACGTCCAAGGATAGACAAAGTCATAGGGGATGAAGAGGAGATACCAGGACCATGGCCAAGTCTGGGTTCCAGGCCATCCAGGCAGCCCCAACTCATAGAGAAACAGAGGCCTTATTCTGCTAGTCTGTACCTCGGTTTCTACACTTTTATCTAGCTATTTATTTGTATATCTGTGTGTGTCCATGTGTAGACACGTGTGATACAGAGTACATGTGGAGGCTGGAAGACAACTTTGAGAGTCAGTTTGTTTCTTGCATCATGTGGGTCCCAAGGATTGAGCTCATGTAGTCAAACCTGGCAGCAATTACTTCTACCCAGTGAACCATGCCGTAGGCCCATTGGCTCAGTTTCTAAAACCTACCCCCTAGACGCCCATAGGATCCCTCTGGTTCAGAGGTTCTTTTAGGATCCTGACCACGGTGGTAAATCTGTCATGTCCGTCACCCCAGCACTTGGAACACCAAGGCAGGAGGATTGTGATGCCAGCCTGGGCTACATAGTGAGATCCTGTCTCTAAAAAAGGAAGCTAGGCATGCCTCTTATTCCAGCACCAGGGAGGCAGAGGCAGGGGGACTGCTGTGAGTTTGTGGCCAGCCTCATACATACAGTAAGTTCCAGAGAACCAGGACGTAGATAACATGACTCTATCTCTAGTGTCTTCCCCACCAAAGAAAAGGAGAGGAAGGAAAAAAAGACCCAAAGCTTTCCATTTCCAAAGAAAAAGGATGCTCTCCCCCCCTCCCCACCCCCAGGAAGGGTGCAGGGCCATTACCCAGCTACCCTGAGCCCAGAACAGAGTATCAGACCCCCAAGTCAGGAGGAAACTGCTTGCACCCTGGCAGAGCCCACTCCTGCCACAGAAAATCATGGTCTCGGGTGGGGGTTGGGGGAAGACCTAGAAAAATCTGAGAATGGCCATGAGAAGAAGAGGGGGTACCAGCTAGAGCGCCCAAAGCAGCCCACCTCCAGCTGCATCCCACCCATCCCTCTTCTGCAACCTTGGGGTCTGTCTAGCCACTAAGGATGAAGGGCATGGCATCTGGAGATTGTCTACTGGTAAGAGTTGAGGATGGGTCTGGGCTGTGTCTTCTTGTTCTGAAATGGCCAAGAACACCTGCCTCTCCCTCCCAGCCAAGCAGCCTCACTGAAGGCTTCCAAGCCACAGATGACAAAAGGGAAACAAAAAAACAAGCAGCACACTGGCCAGAGTGCCTCTCTCTCTGCTGGGCCTGTGAGCCTAAGTTTCCAACTGAGGTTTCTCTCTTTCCTCAACCCTCCCTCCCCCACCTGACTCAGAAGGCAGGGTCGCTGTGAGAAAACTCTGCAGGGCTGGTTGCCCTGGTATCTGTTTATTGCAAATCCAAAACAAACATCCCTGCTTACCACCCACTTAAACTTCCTATGACTCGCCAGCCAGCTGTCTCCATGGATACTGCCAAGTGAACCCCCATCACCTATACGAAAGATGACAGCATGTGAACTCCAAGGCCCAGAGTGCCTTCTCCTCAACTCCTACCATGGGACCACCTTGGCCTTTTCCCATCATCCCTCTCTAGTCACAGTGTCCAGGGTTACAAGGGTGTCTGAGCCTGCCCAACCTTGGAAGGCCGCAGCCTCGTCCTCTCGAGTGCTATGTTAACGTTCACTCCGTAAAGAAATTGTCAAGCTGGGAATGTGGTTCTGTTGGTAGTTTGCCTAACAAGCCCAAAGTCCCGGGTTTGAGCCCCAGTACAGCACAAACCTGGTGTGGTGGGGGAGAAGGATCAGGATCTCCAGGCATTCTCAGCTATATAATGAGTTTGAGGCTTGCCTGGGCTGCATGAGCATGAGAGATTGTCATAAACAAACAAACAAACAAACAAAGGCTCCTCAGTCACTCTTCCTTCCCAGGACCACGAAGGTTCAAGAACAAAAACCCCACCGTGATATATATTTTGTTCCTTTCTATCTCTGGTCCTGTGACTCCAGCCCACCAGTGTCTACACCCAGAAGAGAAGAAAACTTCAAAAAATACTCTCTGGGGTCTGGAGAGATGATGGCTCAGCCCTTAATAGCACTGACTGTTCTTCTAGAGGTCCTGAGTGCCGCCCACAATGACCGGCGAACAACTGCCTGTAACTCCAGCTCCAGGGAACCTGACACTTCCCAGCTATCACACACACACACACACACACACACACCCAATGCACACGCACACACTTAATTAAAATCTAAGACCAAATCTGGATGTGGTGTTTGCACACCTTTAATGTCAGCACATAATGTCAGCACGAGGGAGGAGGCAGGAGAAGTCTGACGGCTGAGTTGGGAGCCAGCCAGAGCTCCGGATTAAATTCCAGGCCACTCTATCTTAATAAATAAACAAACAAATAAATGATACAAATAAAATCTTTAGAAAACACCGCCTCTTTTCCCCCTCAGTCATCTCAGGGTGCTCCAAGGAGTAAGAACTTCCATGCTGCTCCTTGCTCCTGGACAACCCGTGTCCATCCATGGTAAACCCTAGTCCAATCCAGCCACCATCGCCCCACCCAGTACACCTCAAAACCCAGCCACACAAGGCTACTGACAGAAAGACAGCCCTTGGGGCACCAGGAGAGTTTGGCCCCATGTGGGGAGTTAGCCCTGCTTCAGGGCAGGCCTGGCAGATACACAGAGGGAGGAAGAAAGTACCTGAAGTTCTCTGTTGGGCTCAAGTCCAAGAGGAACCAGAACCCAGACAATCACAGGGCACATTTCATGCCCACTGGCCACTGGGCAGAAACCCAAGGGAAGGCCATGCTGACTTTTCTTGGAGGTAGGCCCAGGGTGCACAAGGGGCAGACAGCACATAGCTCATAGCTTCTCCAAAGGAAAGGGGGCAAACTGGAGGCCTGTTGCTGCAAGCTGAGAACCAAGGAGGGGAGTGCCCAA